CAAAAAAAAAAAAAAAAAAAAAAAAAAAACAGACACTCGTGAGTCGACGTCGATTCGACGTTCATATGTCGGTTTCGATTTCGACGCTTTCGATTTTCTTTTTCGATAAGGGCCTCGGTCCGATTCGCGCCGTGGAAAAAACGACTGCTCGTTCTCGAAGCTCAAATTTGAGCTTCAGCTTAACTTTTTTAACAGCGTTAAAGTTCATTAACAAATGAAAATTAGGAAACTTATTTTTCGTTTTTTGAATATTAAAAATATATTAAATAAAAAATACATTTAAAAATAAATTTCGGAAATTTTTATTCAATAAAATTTAAATAAATAAATTTAAAATGAATAATACATTGAAATTAAATGAAATAAATAATTATTTTTGAAAAAATAAATTCAAATAATACATACATTTTAAATGAACTAAACCTAGATGTGAACCCGTGATGGGATTATACCGCGCCGGAAAGATCGAGCCGCCGATCTTTCGTCGAAGGATCGGAGATGGAATCGGGAATGCATGCTCGTCGAAAGCGTTGCGACACCCGTTCGTCCTCGGCTGTTGGAGAGGCGATTCGGAAAATTCTCTCGTCCGTGGAAAGGAAGAGAGGGGGGAATGGTCGAATGCGGTCGAATGGTTCCCTGGTTTCTCGGTTGATTTTCTTTTTGATTTTTCGATTTGGGATTTGGGATGTTGCCGCAGCGCCGAGGCGAGAAATCGACGCGATCGCGACCGATGCCATTTGACGGACGGTGTCGAAGTCCGAGCGTCTCCAGAATGGAGGACCACAACGCAAAAATAAAATTGTAAAATATATACGATAAAGATGAGCTCGTTGACCGTCTCGTTCGCCCCGGCAGTGGTGGACTGGCAGTGGCAGGCCCGCTACTGCGCGATCGTCCCGATGGCCTCGCCTGCCTCTACATCCCGGAGTCGCCCGTCTGGCTCCTGCAGCAGCGGAGGAAGGAGGAGGCGGAGGAGGCGCTCAGGTGGCTTCGCTGGTTCCGTGGAAAGGGGGATGTCTCCAGGGAGATTCAGGTATCAAGATGCGTGTGGCTTTTTATCCGTCCATGAGGGGCGTCTTTCTCGAGGATGTCGTTTAACTTTTAGCTGTTCTTCCCCTTCAGGCTCCCCGCCCGCCCTCTTAGCCTCTCTCGCCCACCTTGGCCTACCTTTGTTCACCTTCGCCCCTTCGCCCCTTCCCACCCCGCTCCTCCAAACTCGAGCATCCACGCAGAAAGCCTTCCCCATGACTTTCTTCCCTTTCCTTTTTATCCATCGCAAAAACGGATCCCTGCAATTAAAAACGCGTTCCTCCCCACAGGAAATAAGCGAGAACATCGAACGGACGCGCTCGGCCGGCGTGGAAGGAGCCGGGGCGAGCCGCGCCTTCGCGATGATGAAGCACATGATGCATCGCAGCGTCCTCGTGCCCCTTGGCATCTGTTGCGGCCTCTTCCTCGTTCAGCAGCTGGCGGGGGCCAACATCATCATCTTCTACACGGGTGAGGAGTCGCGGAAGCCCCTCGCGAGTGGTCCCGAGATGGTGGATCGCGGGGGGGATCCTCGCGAGGCGCCGTGAATCCCGTCGGACGTGACCGCGACGACTTTCTCTTCTCTTTCCCTCGCGAAATCCTCGCGTCGCCTCTTCGACCGCCCGGTGGCCTCGCGGCTCCTCCGGCCTCCTCGGTCGGGGCCACCGCCCTCGGGTGGCTCGTGGGTGGCTCGAGGGTGGCTCCTGGGTGGCTCTCGAGTGGCCCACGGGTGGATCTCTCTCGCCTCGCGGTCTCGCCGCGGGCACTCGTGCGGAAACCGTCCCCGCGAGTCGAGGACCGGAAAAAAAAAGTCACGGTCAAGAGGAAGAGAAAGGCCGAGGCAAAACCAGCCTCCACGCCGAATCGAGAAAAGTAATAATAATAAAGAAAATATAAAATATGAATAATGTTTTCGGAGATGCATTAAAAAAAAGTGAAAGTAAAGATGAAAATAACAAAAGCAATAAAATGGAAATCAGAACTTTAAAAAATAATGAGAAAAATAGAAATGAAAACCGATGAAATAATAAATTTAACAATAACAATGAAAGTAAATGCCAATTATTATCAAACTAAACTATAAACATGTGGAGTGGCAAAAAAAAAAATGTTCTGTCGTCATGCGTTCTGTACGATTTCGCTGGTTCTCCCCTCAGGAACGATTTTCAAGGATTCGACGGGAGAGATGGACGAAGCTCTGGCGACAGTGATCGTGGGGATCGTGCAGTTCCTGGCGACGCTGACGGCGACGTTCCTGCTGGACCGAGCGGGGCGGCGACCGCTGCTGCTGGGGTCGATCACGGCGATGGGGCTGGCGCAGGCGGCGATGGGGGGGTACTACTACGCGGGGGTGGAGGGGATGGCGTGGGTGCCGCTGGCGGCGCTCATCGGGTTCGTGGCGGCGTATTCCGTGGGGTATGGGCCGATTCCGTGGTTCTTCATCGGGGAGTTGTTTCCGGAGAGGGTGAGGGGGGTGGCGGGGGGGGTGTCGGTGTCGTTTAACCTGGTGTGTAGCTTCGTCATGTTGTTTCTGTTCTCCAAGCTCAAGGATTGGTTGGAGGATTACGGGACGTTTTGGTTGTTCGCGGCGGCGTGCGTCGGGGGACTCGTCTTCACGTTGATCGTCGTGCCGGAGACGAAGGGGAGGAGCCTCGAGGAGATCGAGGGGTACTTCGCGAGGAAGGGAGAGGGAGGAGAAGGAAAAGTCGAAGGAGGTGGAGGGAAGGGAGGGGAAGGGAGGGGGGCGACTGGGATGCATCGGATGTCGGTCACGAGCGTGGACAGCGTGGATCGGGGGAACATGTGGGTGTGTGGGGCGGGATCCAGGAAGGATCTGCTGGTGGGGTGAAGGGGCGGGGGGAGTGGAGGGGGGTAAGCTGCTTCGAGATGGGTTAAGGTGGTGATGGTCCTACCAGGAGGCGTCGTTTGCTCGCGTGACGGGCCGAACTCTTGGGATTCCACCGCCGGTTGATTAGTTCACGCTCTTTCTTTTTCATATACTTTTTTCCATTTGAGAATTTAAAAAATCTGGGTAGAAGTGTGTGAACTTGTATGTACTGCAACGATCGACGATGACCTCAGTCGTCGATCTCATCGAAGAAGAGGCTCCTAATCCTCGCGTCGAACCTGCCGTGGGTATGCTCTTTGGCAACCACTTCGCAGAAACTTTTGCAAGACGAAAAGAAGCCAGGGTCAAAGCGGGCTTCACGGAGGGAAGACTTTTAATTATTTTTTTATGAAGATGTTTCGTTTCGATACACTTTCCCCTCACGACCGGTGAAATTCATCTTGATCCTTCCACGTTGCAGAATAAACTACCATGTAGTGAAATTCCTTCCAGACTTCTATCAATTGTCCAATCAATTATCAATTGAGACGGGGGGTCCCTCCTGCCCCCACCCACCCTCCCCCTGCCCCCCTTCTCATTGAACGACGACTGTGAAGCTTGCACATCGGAAACAGATTCGTAGCCTTCCCCTGAAGTTCGCAATGCATCGTGTCCGATGAATTTGTCCAATCAAAAGAGGGTGCAAGACGATTCCCGCCGTCGCGATCATTCCTCTCACCAGGAAACCGTCAAGCAATATTTTTAGCAACAAAAACGGTTAACAAGTGATATTACGTTATTCACAGATTCTTTAGAATCGACAGGTGAAATATTACAAAAACACCGGAAAATTGTTTCCAAATGGGCTCAGTCTCGAAAATATCCCTCTCAGACCTAGCGTCCATTCCAATGGACATTGCATTTACTATGGTCTATGGAAATTTCTTAGGATTCTCGTGACTTTGCGCTCCATATTACGCTACAATAGGAACAATAATGCATGGCTCAGTTCCATCAGAGGCCTTCTT